TGAAATATTGATCAAATACAAATGTTAGTTGAATAGGGAGTTGATATCATGATACAAAAATTGTTTAGAACTGAAAAATTAACGGCACCATTTTTTAAAGCTTTGTGCAACTGAACTGTCAGAAAGTAAGTAATTATAAATTGCCTCCAGGTCTCTCTGAGAATCTGTAACTGCCCCATCCATGACTCTGATCTGTACATAGGTGGATCTTCCATGGTCAGCTGTTTCCAGTAAGCCAGATTTTAAGTTGTTATCAGTAAATTTAGTAACTGGAAAAGATTATTTCGCTCTTGTTCATTGATTTTCTACATTTTATTTTCCCATTTTTATTCTTAAAACATTACAGCAAACCCAGTGAAACATTAACATCCATAGTCTGCTGCCCTCCAGTAAGACACACAGGACTGTAGTTCCTGCTTTTTCTGGTCATTTGGTGGCTTTCTAGTTACAGTTGTCACATAAATCAGTTCTAAATTTCACAGTGCCCTTATCTATGTTATGTTGCTATGGGATCTTACAGTAAACATTTCTGGGCTTCCCTTGTGGCTCAGCTGGTAAAGAATCCTCCTGCAATGCAGGAGATCCAAATTTGATTCCTAGGTCGGGAAGATCCCCTGGAGAAGGGAGAGGCCACTCACTCCAGTATTCATGGGCGTTTCTGGTGGCTCAGACAGTAAAGAGTCTCCTGCAATGCAGGAGACCTGGGTTTGACCCCTGGGTTGGGAAGATCCCCGGAGGGAGGGCATGGCAACCCACTCCAGCATTCTTAGCTGTAGAATCCCCATGGACTGAGGAGCCCGGTGGGCTATAGTTCATGGGGCCGTGCAGAGTCAGACACGACTGAGCGACTAAGCACAGCACAGTAAACATTTTTAATGGCTGAATAGTATTTATGCAATTTTACTTTCAGTTTTGTGACTTTTTCTGCTCTCAGACATTTGTTTCATTTATTTTTGCCATTTAGTCAATTACAGATATATACATGTAGCCATCTATTATATTGATATCTATCTAATGCAGAGATTTGTCCTTTGTTTTCTTACAGATTTACTTTTTTTAGGATTTGGTTTCATTCATAATATTAACCCCATGAAGATTATTGACCCATACTGTCCAACTGCAACATATTCCACCACTGCATACCCAGAGAGGTGTCGGGTTTACTGTAGCTTCATCAGCTTTGTGAAGCAGGCTGGTGGTTCTTCCTCACCAAACTGGTTTGTAACAGCCCTTCATTGTGTTAACTTGCAGTTATTATTAATTACAATGTTTTCAAAACTATAAGCTTTTCTTCATTTCCCTGGTTAGTGGTTAATGCAGATGCACTTCACAAACAGTCTATGACTTTCTTATTTGGCTAGTTGTAATTTTACAGACATTACCAGCTAAATGTTGCTTGGATGTGAATAATGCCTAAAAGTATGTATTTGATTAAATTTTTTGAAAAATTTCAGTAGGCATCTGGATAAAATTGATACAAAACTCTAAAGCACAAGTCTTCTTTTTATCTTATTTCAGATTTGCCACTAGAATCTATGACTCAAACATAGCAGTAAGGGAAAAAAATTCATTTTTCCACCTGTAACTCAAAACAAATATGTAGAAAGCTATGATAACTACTTCTTAAGCTGATGTGACAGCTAGAACAACATATGTTTGACTTTTCCATACGTCGTTAAATTGCTGTCTGCGTAATAAAAACCACATGCCAACATAGCTAACTGTTCACAAAGGCATACACTATTAAATGTGCTGTGCTTCTTTGTGAAAACATCTGCTTGAGTTTTTTAAATACACACACATACACCCGTGCACACATTTCCCCAGAACAAAAAGAAAAGGTGACTTCAGTGTAAATCATTTTCCTACTAAATCTTATTTATGTATAAATAAGGTTTATTTATGTATAAATTTATTTATTTATGCATAAATTCTCGTATCTAGTGGGAGAATGCTACTGAATGAGCGCTACCCTACCCATAAAGAAATTTCTCTAAATTAGTATATACATGTATTCATAAACTTATTTTTGTCTTTGTCTTTTTGTTTTAAAGCCTTGAATTAACAACAACAGCAAAGAGTGGGGAGGGTGGTCTAGAGGGAAGCAATACGTATAATGAGGTCCTACAGTGATGCAGAATTGCTGAGTGAGTGAGCATGGATCCTCATGGCTGAGTCTTAGCGTCTGATTTCTGTTTAGGGGGTAAACACATGGGATCTTTTATTTATTCTCAAAGGATGAAAATGTCTTCAAGCAATTTATTTTTGTTACCACCAAAACCCACACTGTCACTGGGGACTTCCTGACCCACCCCCAAGGTGATGAGTCCTAATGTTACTGAAGTTTCCATTGTCTATTTTTCCATCTTTCTCTGCATCCCTGAGTGTCTTGTGGCCAGATTCTGGGCCATGAGATGGAAATTGAAGTTTGTTGAAGGTGGTGGGGGGAGATGGGGAGCTTTGTGAAATTGTTGGCTTTCTTGATACAAAAGCCAAGAAAGAGAGATGTGGCTGGTGTCGTCTCTTCCTTACCTCAGGCATTTGGATTTCCTTCTTAACAGCTCCTGGGAAGGCTTCCTCAATAATCTCCCCACCTATGCTGCCCCCAGAAATATTAGGTATCCTTTCTCGTGATACATCACTCTGAGCAGACAGACAAATGCATGTACCAACCACATAGCAACCGTATTTACTGCGACTGTTTGCCTCTCCTGGACTGGACTTTTCTTAGGAGCCTGGACTTTGCTTTTTTTTTTAATCTTGAGGTCTCCAAAGCTAATCTCAATTTTGATATTTAGTAAATACTGAATAAACACTTGTCGAATCAGCAGGTCTTATGGCCTTCTTAGACACTAAGGGCATCTTCTCTAAAAAATTGTCATGGCAAGCCAGGACAGTTGTCTGGGAGAAGATGTATCAGTGTCCCATGGAGAACAAACCTTGAATATGGAGTATTTCTTTACGTATATCATTGGCCCAATTTCGACTTCTAGAGACTGTGGTTGACTATCTTTTTATCTTTTAAATTTCCATTCTAGTGCTGTCTTTAATTTTTAGAACACACCACGTTGAGGAGAGAAAATATTAGTTTACCTGGACTTTCAATGACCACAAACTTCCCGGAGCACTGGAGCAGAAAGCCTGACCACCCGCGGGACATCGCTGGACCCAGGCTCCACTGTTCTCCAGTGAGCGACTCCCCATGAGGAACTGCTTGCTCCTCTGGTTGCTGTTCCTCAGCAGAGACAGAAGGGAGCCGCCGGGTTTACAGTCAGGGCTCTCGCTCTTCCTGTGTTGGCAATGAAACTGTGCTGGAGCCAGGACTGGTGGTCGAGCTCGGAGGCTATGTCAGCACAGCCCTGGAGGAGGCACCTTCTGCATCTGATCAGGTGTAGCCACAACCACCGAGTTCCTGAACAGGAGCGGAAGCACAAGTGTGAACGTCCTGAACAGAAGAATTTTGGAAGGGCGTGGGGGGCACCCAGGAGAGAGCAGCCCAGCACCTGGGCCAGGGGTGATGGAGACGGGGAGGGGTGGCTGGTTTCCGGAGGCTGTTGGGAGACCCCTCATATCAGGCAAAAGTGCCCTGGGCTTGAGCCATGGCCCTCAAGGCTCCAGCCTGCCCCCGGCCCCAGGAGGAGGTTCCAGGCTCAGGGTGGCGGGGGAATCGAGGCTGACACCCCACAAACTGTCATGGGGAGGCTGTTCCCCAGGCTCTGCCATGGGAAGAAAAGAAGCCGAGCTGGATTTCAGAAGCAGTGACGTCCAGAGACGTGAACATGTCATTCTGGGCACTTTGCCTTGGTTGAAACCTGCTGTCATCCTGTGAGAGCGATTCAGCCAAGACCAGGAGGCAGTCAGATTTCACCTCGTGCTCTCAGGAGCCTCTGTCTGGCACCCACGGCTGCATCAGTGTGTGCTGGGCTCCCAGCTGGTGAGAGTGTGAACCTCACAGGCCTTCACGGAAGGGGCCCCAGTGAGCGTTCAGAGCGAGTGTGCGCCCATGGCTGGTTGTGTGCTCAGCCTCCTGACAGCTCTTGAAGGTCCCCTGTGTAGGCCGTGTGCCGCAACCCCACCCTCCAGGCAGAGCAGACAGATTTCCCCGCCCCAGGAATGTTAAAGCAAATGGCAAAGAAGAATGTTAAAGCAAGGGAAAACTGGCCTCTAATGTCAGCATCGCTGAGCTGTGTACACTTGGATAATCTCACTAACGTCTCTGGATTTCTGCTTGGTCGTCTATAGAATCAGTGGTAAAACCTACTTCGTTAGATTATATTGAATGTCTGTGGGTGTCTGGAGCTGGGTTTCCTGCAAGGTCCTAGCCCCTGGCATTTAAAGACATCCACTGGTCCTAGGAGACCTACACACTAGGCTGGATGACAAACCTTTGTTACTTGGAAGCCACAGCGGGCCTCTTCTTGGGTTGTTTTTTTGTTGTGTGATGACTTGATTCTCAGGAAAATGACTGTATCATCTGGTTAACTGCATGACACCCCACCTGACACCAAGGATTCAGAAAGCTTTGTGTCCCCCCAGCTCTGAAGTGAGCAGGGATCTGGCTCCGCTGTTACAGGGTCCTGAGGGGGTGTTCTCTGAGCCTTCTTCGTGCACGACCCTTGGAATGTTCAATGAAATCTGTCTGTGTTTTCTTATATGGCATTTTCAGTGTTGTGAAGGCTTACCGAAAGAACTCACACTTTTTTTTTTTAAGCATAAAAGTGTAGGCTTGATTTTGGTTTGGAGGGAAGTGAAAGCTCTCACTGATTTTAACTAAAAAACCATCAAGAAGTCTGTCAGCCTCTGTTTCTCTGTATCAGTGCTTTTCATAGATGCACTCTTTATTAACCACAACGGGGATGCTGTATCTTGGGAAAAGTATTGACTCTTGTTCTAAATACAGTGAATACCCATCATTAATTTGTTCATTCTTTCCCTCCCCTTCCAGGGACTCACAGGCATCTATTAAAGATAAAATAAATTCACACCAAAAAATAGAAATCTAAAATTAAATATTTAATTAGAACTCTGATTTGCTTTAAAGATAGGTGGCATTGCACAGGCTATATTACACTCTCTGTATAATTTTTTTGACAAAAAAAGATAACTGTTCATTTTAACAGGTCACTTTAATATTAATACATGTGTAATAGGATCGGAACTGAACGTCAGCTAGAGATGGTACATTGTACATTATTGGGAAAATTACAGTTTTGTATTGTAAAAACATTTATTTTTTTAACAATTTACCTACATTAATCAAAAAATTACAGCATATTTAATAATTTTACAAATTCTTCATAAAAAATATATCTCTGTACAAAAAGGTCGTTTGCACCTACTTCATGTCAGCAGCATGTGGCGAGGTGGCGAGACGGGTGGCTGATGGCGATGGTTTCCTGATCGTAATGCCAGCGTTCTTTCCCCTTTTTTATAATAGCTTTTTTTTTTTTGTGGTTGTTTACAAAATATTTTACAGAAGAAAAAAATTATTGCAGCTAGCCTGAAGAAAGGCAAGATGTGTGGGACAAGCAGCAGTTTGAACAGCTTTGAAGCACAGGACCTGTCCGGGGCTCCCGCCCTCCTCAGGCTCTGGCTGCTCCCGGAAACAATCCTGCAGCCGGACCAGAGGGCGCACGTGCCGACGGCTTGGACCGAACCTCCAGCACCTCGCGGGAATCTGATCAACACTGCACACAGCCTGGGGAGAAACTGGGCAGGACTCTCGCACAGGAATTTCATGGGGCACTTCTTTTTAACAACATGCTCCAAACGGGCACCTGAGGACACTCTGAGTGTGCACACAAAGGAGAATCACGTCTGATCTGATATGTGGTTTCTTGTATGTAGGTATGTCCTGTCGTGTCAGGGTTTCGTAACGTCATTGACCAGCAAGCAGGTCAGGGATGTGGAGAGAGACACTGATTCAGACTCTGAAGTCAGCATTTTGCACCTAGTTTGAATGACTCAAACCGCATATGTACACGCTATTATATTTATCTATATGTATGTATATATATACACCTCATATGTATAGTAACCCTGTTCTCCCCTGCACACGAAGACGCGACAGCTTCCACCTGTCTTCTCTTTACTTCAGCTCCTTGGGTGTGCGAGGAGCCTGCCTCTGACCCACCTCGTCTGGCCTAAGGAGAAGAAGCCGTAAGGACTCCAGGCTGCAAAGCCTGCTTGGTCCCATTGCCAGGTTGGCCAGGGCGAACCCTGGAGCTCCATGCTGCGGGTGGGAGAGGCCGGGAGAGGCGGGGCCACAGAGCTTGGCCACGCCTCCCGACAGCTGTGCCCTTCAAACAGGCAGCAGACAGTGAGTGCCCCATAGTGGGGAGCCACTGAAAGGTTCAAATGGAAACTTTTTAAAGAATGAGCTATTATCCTGACATTTGTGTTTTTCATTGTTCACTTTTCAAGCCCTGCATCGAAACATGTAACAAACACATACATCAGTCTTAAAGCTACATGTGAACATGTCCTCAAGAACCAAGTCTCTACCGATGCTGCCAAGGATGGACAAAGGGGACTTCTCAGTAAGTGGAATGCATACTTAAAACTCAGATAATAACATATGCCTTGCCTTTTCAAAGCAAAAAAAGGTTTTTTTAAATCAAACAACTGTAAGTAAAAATAAACACGATCTCTGAGTTTATTATGTAAACATCCTCACGGCCGCATTTTCTGCTTCCTGTCTGGGTTTTTACTGCCTGGGGAGTCATACCTACTTTATTTATACTGTGATTCATAATTTACCTGTAAAGACAAAAAATCACCAAGGTTTTCTTTCCATCTGGGATTATATAGCATAGAACAGAAGAAATCTATAATAGTAATATCTGTGTCATCAGGAAAGAAGAGTGGGTGTGACTTTTCCTTGCCTCTAAAGGAACACTTAATATTTTGATCATCCCGAAACTTTTCCACTGCGTCCCAGGAACACACAGTCCTTTAACAGAAAATGAGAGGGATGGCAGCGAAAGAGAAATCACAGCAGAGGATGGACAGGAAGACTGTGGTGAACCCAAACCCACAGGCAGGTCAGGAGCGACCTAAAATAAATTACTATTCACATCTGTACACGGCACTTGGAAAGTGCTGCAGACCTCCTGCTATGAAGTAGTGGAATATCTATGATCATGGGATGGGGACAAGACTAAAGAAAGGATGTGGGAAATAAAAGGCCTCTGTTCTTTCTCAATGAATTCAACACAGCTGTGAAGCTAAAAGAAAGCAGTAATAAAATAAATCTCTTCGATATTATTTTTCGTTTTAAAACCTGTGCCATATCTGGGGATTTTTTTTTCTTTTTTCTCACACGCTAACTAAACTGAAGCTGGAATGCTTAGCTTGACAGTATGGCAGGATGCTTATATACAATGGATAGTGTGTAGAAACCCCATGTAAATAGTTTATTTTTTATCAGAATCTTAGTCATTCATAACACACTAGTGCAAAAAATTGTGCATCAAAAATTCTGCGAGAGAACAGCTGACTGGGAAATTTGCAGATGGCCCTGGGGTGGCCCCGAGGTGAGCTGCGGGGCCCTCGAAGCTTGCCGGTCTCGGGGAGGACGGCGCAAAGCGTCTGCAGGTGTGTGCGGCTGCCAGAAAGGTGTCTTCTTCAGGAGGGCTTTTTTTTTTCTTTTTCCAGAATATTCATGGGGATTAAAAACAAAACAAAACAAAACAATGAACCCATACGGCGGTGCTACCACGTGTGGCCCAGAGGCGTCCGGCCGAGGCTGCGCAGAGAGGCAGCTGGGCCACAGCAGGCGGGCAGGGCTGCTGGGCAAGGCCGCGCGTCCCGGGCCGCGCCCTCCTCCGCGCCCGGGCCGCAGCAGGGCGGCGGCGGTCCGCTCCCGGGATGAGGCCCGCGTCCCCCACGTGGCCGGGAGGGGCCGGCCGGAGGGGAGGGTTTGTGGCACCTGTGGTCCCTGCTGTCCGTCGTCGGAGGTATGGCTATGAGGCGGCCGCCCGCGGGCTACACCACGGTGCACACCGTGTTCAGAGTCGTGTCAAAGCGCACGGCCTTGGCCTCGGTGGGCTTTAAGTTCGTGTCGTACATGGGGTTCTCAAAGGAGGCCTGCCCGTTGCTGTTCTCGTGGCCGGCGTAGCCGTTGTACTGGACCTTGGGTCTCGTCCTGGGGCGGGAGACAAGAGCGGGGACAGGCCGTCAGGACCGCAGGGCCAGGGCTTGGGGAGAGACGCAGCGTCTGTAAACCGACGGCGGGGCGACAGTACCTGTGTTTGTAGAGGTAAAATGCAAACCCTGATAAGATGAGCGCGAAGAACGGAACTAGAATGGCAGCCGCCACGGAGCCACTGCTGGTGCCGTGGTACTGACTGGAGGAGTCCTGGTCGGAGCTCACGGGGTCTGGAAAAGAAGGGAGCGTTAAGCTGCAGTCAGCGTCCTCTTGCTCACACAGAGACAGAGCTACAATGGGCTTTATAAACAAAGGCAGACTCTACAAGAAGCAGAAAGTGTTCCCATTCCATTGGGAAGCAGCTGACACTTTTTTCAAAGATATTAACATCCATCTGAAGGACTAACACACAAAAGGCTGGTGGTTCCTCACTGACCGTCAACACTGAGAGTGCCGTGTTCCCAGTGTGAGAACTGCAAAGGGGGCTGTGGTCATACTGACTTTTGCTCATGGCTGTAGATACTCACATTTGTGTAAAGTCTAACTGAAGCATCTACAGGGCTGTACCTGTCTACAGATGTGGGTGGCATGTGCTGTTTGCTCCTGCCCCAGGACAAGTCACTGAAATTACACAGGAAGTCCAGGTCTCTACAGAAGTGCAATCACCTTCATGTCTGACTCTTTGTGACCCCATGGACTGTAGCCCACCAGGCTCCTCTATCCATGGAATTCTACAGACCAGAATACTGGAGTGGGTGAAAATGAAAAGAAAGTGAAGTCGCTCAGTCATGTCTGACTCTGGGATTTTCCAGGCAACAGTACTGGAGTGGGTTGCTATTTCCTTCTCCAGGGGATCTTCCCGACCCAGGAATCGAACCCAGGTTTCCTGCATTGCAGGCAGACGCTTTACCCTCTGAGCCACCAGGGAAGCCCAGCTGTTCCCTTCTCCAGGGAAGCTTCCCAAATCAGGAATTGAACCCAGGTCTCTCACACTGCAGATGGATTCTTTGCCATCTGAGCCACCACAGAGACCCATCACATGTGAATATCTTGGTGCAATCTACCTTTATTGGCATAGATTCTAAAATTCATTATGAGTTTAGAAATCATCAAAGAATGCATGTAAATGTTATAAAGCAAGTTTCTATAAAGTAAGTTCAGTCCATTAGAAGGGAAGTGAAAGTGAAAGTGAAGTTGCTCAGTCGTGTCCGACTCTTTGTGACCCTGTGGACTGTGGCCCACCAGGCTCCTCCGTCCATGGGATTTCCCAGGCAAGAATACTGGAGTGGGTTGCCATTTCCTTCTCCAGGGGATCTTCCTGACCCAAGGATCGATCCCAGGTCTCCCACATTGCAGGCAGACAAAGGCAGATGCAGGCAGATGCTTTAACCTCTGAGCCACCAGGGAAGCCCCATTAGAAGGGAAGGCAAGTATAAATATCTCAGACACCAGGCAGGCGACATGATCATTAACTTGTGTATCTCCAAAGTGGAGAGTTCTGCACAGCACTGTTGCTGCTGCTGCTAAGTCTCATCAGTCCTGTCCTGTCTGATTCTGTGCGACCCCATAGACGGCAGCCCACCAGGCTCCCCCGTCTCTGGGATTCTCCAGGCAAGAATACTGGAGTGGGTTGCCATTTCCTCCTCCAATGCATGAAAGTGAAAAGTGAAAGTGAAGTTGCTCAGTCGTTCTGACTCAGAGCGACCCCATGGACCGCAGCCCACCAGGCTCATCCATCCGTGGGATTTTCCAGGCAAGAGCACTGGAGTGGGGTGCCATTGCCTTCTCCTGCACAGCACTGAGGAAGAAGCAAACACTAAAAGTTCAGATCAGAGAACATTTATCAAGGGATTATTGCCAAATAAGTTTATTCTTGAGGAATTTAGTTATAAAACACAATTTTGAAATGTATTTGACTTAACTGCATGGAACCACTCAATGCATGTGTGTAGTTAATTATGGCTGGGGTCATCTGAATATAGCAGAACTGTAAAATGAAGCTGACCTCATTTCAAAGTCTATTTCCAGAATTTATGGGATGTTTCCTGTTCCTTTTTTTTTTTTTTACAAAACACAAATACAAAGAAGTAATCAAATATTTAAAATAATTAAATAGCCTTTTAAAGAACTTTTCATAAAAACTTAAAAATAATATTAATTGTCATCTCCTTCAGTAGATGCGCTTCTCAAGGTGGCACTAGTGGTAAAGAATCCTCCTGCCAATGCAGGAGATGCAGTTTCGATCCCTGGATCAGGAAGATTCCCTGGAAGAGGGTATAACAAACCACGCCAGTATTCTTGCCTGGAGAATTCCATGGACGGAGGAACCTGGTGGGCTATACAGTCCATGTGGTCGCAAAGAGTTGGGCTTGACTGAGCGACCGAACACACACACACACACCTTCAGTAGATGCAAGATTATGCTACTCCCTATCTGGAGAATCCCAGGGACAGAGGAACCTGGTGGGCTAGACAGTCCATGGGGTCACAAAGAGTTGGACTTGACTGAGTGACTGAGCACACACACACACCTTCAGTAGATGCAAGATTATGCTACTCCCTACCTGGAGAATCCCAGGGACAGAGGAACCTGGTGGGCTATACAGTCCCTGGGGTCGCAAAGAGTTGGGAGTTGACTGAGCAACTGAACACACACACACACCTTCAGTAGATGCAGGATTATGCTACTCCCTACCACCTCCAGTTCTTATGTAAACATATTTTATCCTGGATGTTGGCACCTTGTAAATCAACCATACCTTTTTGCGATCCTCCTGTATCAGCATGTATGATTCAGATTTAATTTTTCATTTTCTGGTGCATTCACCAGCTGCCATGCACAGGGGATGCCAGATACTTGTTCTCCTGAATCTCAGCACCCAGGTGATGGGCTTGTGAGCAGAGCCAACAGAGTGCTCCCTCGCTGGGAGCGGGGTCAGCATGAGTGATGCAGAGACCCGGGGCTGCGGTGCAGCCGGAGCCCTGGGCACGGCATCAGGAGCTTCCTGGGGTGGTGGTGGTTCCAGCCGCAGCAGGGCAGGCCTGTCCAGTCTGGAGGCCGGGTGCAGCAGTGACCCCAGCCACCCTGTCCAGCAGGGAGAAGCCAGTGCTGCTCAAAGGGCCCAGCTTCAGAGATTTGTTGTGAGAATGAAATGGCAGGACATGTCAGCTACTTAGAACCTTAGCTGCACAGTTTCCCCAGGACCCACATTTACTAGAAAATTGGTTGCATGACGCCTGGGTAGTTGTCTGGCCAGCTTTCCTCTTAAATCCCCAGTTCCTACAGTAGAACCTCGAACATAGCAGTTGCTCAGTACATATTTGAAAAATGAAAAAATGGTGCTGTCTTTGTAGTGTTTCAGTATCTGCTGGTTTCCATTAAGTTACCGTGGCTCATTCTCCAGGTGTTTATAATTCTGTGCATCTCTGCTCATCCTGATAAATTTGTAGTCTGCTTAAATTAACCAAAGCCACTTTCTGTTATCTGCGAGCAAGACTATATATTTTTGGCCATAACAGATCTCAGACTTCCAATTAATAAAATCCTGGATAATGGACCTGCCACAGGAGACCTCACATCATGACAAAGGGCAACATGAAAGGTCTTTTTGAATTAAACTCCTGACTTGACTCTGAAATTATTATGCTGTCTGGAGCTCCTAGTTAATTTCAGTTATTTACCCGTGTTTTAATAATTTAAAGGGTAATACATGTACATGATATTAATTAAAGTGGCATAAGCAGATATAGAAATAAATATGAAGATGATGGACATAAAGGGTCATGCCTTGCCCTTTGCACTAGTGTTCCTCTTTATGATGAACAAGGTCTTTGGTTTTGCTTTTGTTTGTGCTTAAGCGTCTTTCATATAATGTACTAGTATAGTGTGTGTGTGTGTGTGTGTGTGTGTGTGTGTATATATAAATAAATACAAATATATATATATTTGTATAAGACCTGGCTGCACCAGGTCTTAGTTGCGGCATGCAGGATCTAGCTCCCTGATGAGGAATGGAACGAGGGCCCCCAGCATTGGGTGGGCGGTGTCTTAACCGCTGGGCCACCAGGAAAGTCCGCAGTGTACTATTAATATTTATGACTGTTTCTTTGTCCTTACTTTCGTAAAATACAGGGATACTATTTACATTTTTAAAAATTTGCGTTTTTAAACTTAACCATATATTTGTGAAGTTCTTCCATCTGCACTTGTGAATGTAATTGTTTTCAGGTGTGCAGTATTCTATTAATTGGCTAAACCAGAATTTATTTAGCCAGTTTGCTGCTGAAGAACATTTGGGTCATTTTTGTCTTTCTCTGTGATGCCACCATGAAATCCTCTTTCTACAGAGATGCATCAGCAGGAGGCTGAATATACAGGATAGATTCTAAGAAGTGGAAGCACTGCCTAACAGAGTGTGTACCTTGTAGCGTTGCTCAGTCTTACCTAGTCTCTCTCCAAAGTGGCGTCCTGATTTCCTCCCAACCCATCTCAGCAGAGACCTGCACACTGTGTCCCAACTCCCACCGCCCACGCCCCCCACCTCCGTCCTTGCCTCTCGCTGCCCCCCATTATTACCACTGCTGCTGCCCTAGGACATCAGACGCAGTGTGCAGCTATTTTCTCAGTTGTGCTTCTTAAGAATGAAGAAGGTGAGTGTCTTTTCACGTTATAGGCTGGAGCACTACTGAAAGAAATGCACATACTATAGAATTCACCCTTTTAATGTAAGGGTGCAAGAATTCACCCTTTTAATTTCAGGGTTTTCTTTTTTACTAGTAAAAATGTGGGGTTTGATGCTGCAGTGATCGCCACAACCTATGTGAGAACACTGCTGTTGCCCCTAAAATTGAACAGGGCCCCTCAATAGTCCCTCCTCCTCCTCCTTCTGCTGTTGCCCCTAAAATTGAACAGGGCCCCTCAGCAGTCCCTCCTCCTCCTCCTTCTGCCAGGCTCCAGCTTTTGGCAACCACTGCTGTACTCTCTGTCTGTATAGATTCAGCCACTCTGGATACTGCATATAAATACAAGAACTCAGTATGTGTTTTTTGGTGAGTGGCTTCTTGTATTTCTCATGACCTTTTTAAGATAACATCCACTGTGTGCATGCGCCACATGCTGTTGATCTGTTCACTGCTGATGGACACTTGGATTGTTTCCACATTTGGACAATTGGGACTAATGCTGGTATAAACATTCATGTATGGATTTATGTGTGAAAGTGTGTTTCCT